TTTTTTTTTTTTTTTGTCTTTTTGAGACAGGGTCTTGCTATGCCTTTGAGGCTGGACTTAAGCTCAGTTTGTAGCCCAGGCTGGTCTCGAACTTGCAACGATCCTCCTGCCTCAGCCTCCCAAGTGCTGGAATTATAGGCATGCACCACCACGCCCAGCCTGTTTTGTTTTTGTTTTTGGAATATTTGCATCTATGTAAGGCTATACTGTTGGGATGGCACCAGGACTAAACAGGAAATTCATTTGTCTTATTTACCCCCTCTCACATAGTCTGAAGGTCATCTACACAGTATTTTTAATGCACCTGTGTGGGGGCTTTTTCAGCCTGTCACAGAAGTCAGCTGTGGAATTTTCTACTGGTGACCTCATACCAGTATACTTACTTTAAATCCTTGGATTTTGAGCATTTTAGATTTTTAATTTTTGCTGGGTGTGGTGGCACACGCCTGTAATCCCAGCACTCAAGAGGCTGAGACAGGAGGATTGTTGAGTTCAAGACCAGCCTAGCCTACAAAATGAGCTCAAGGCCACCCTGAATTGCATAGCAAGACCCTGTCTCAGGGCTGGGGATATAGCTCAGTGGTATAAGTGCCTGCCTTGCAAGCACAAGGTGTGCTGAGTTCGATTCCTGGTACCAAAAAAAAAAAAAAGACCCTGTCTCAAAAAAAAAAAAAAAAAAAAAAAATCCTGGAAACTTAGATTTTTAATTTTTTATCTTAGGGATGCTCAACCTGTACATGTTTTTGTATTATGTTATATTTTAGTTTTGTGTAGGTATATACACTTGAGTTTTTAAAAGTGTCATTAAGTAACCTGCAGTTTTCTGTCCCACATTGGTGTCGTGTTGTGAACATTTTCCTTTGTCCTTAATTCTCTAAAAATACCACTTAAAAAATGTGCAGTAGTTCTTTTTAGGGACAATTTGTTAGTCCTTCTTAGGTCATTTATAGTTTTCTACAATTATAAATAGATTAGTGAGTATCTTTATAATTCATTGTCCATTTCTCTAATTAGTTTGAGGATAGATTGCCTGTCAAAGGTATTTAAATTTTAAGTGTCTGAAGAGATCATATTTCTTGACAGGTAATTTTGCCTTTTTAAAAGTTTATCATTTTCAGACAAAATTAATGTATTTGAGTTGAAGAAATTTTGAAAATTGTAGCGGAAATGAGTGACACTTAGATGGTATCTGTGGCCCAGCAGTTGTTCACAGTGGAAGTAATTGTCTTACTGTCCTTGGTAATCATTGCAGTACTGTGACACCATACGTAGTGCACATTTATTTCTGTAAATGAACGGTTTTACACAGAACCCTGACCGTGGCATCGTCAGCAGCATTTTCTTTTAAAGGGCAGTAGTGGTGTGTTGGAACTGAGCACCTTGGGGAGGGTGTCCTGCCTTCCCCCTCGCTGCCGCCCGCAGCGCCCTTGCTGAAGAAAGTCAAAGGAGGAGGCGTCATTGGCAAGCGCTGACAAGAGGCCAGATAACTGCTGTGACTGCGTCCGGCACCTGTGTGTTTCTTGCCTAAAGTTGTCGTTCCTGTCGGGTAATAGGATGGTATTGAGTTCTCTGTGTTATTTTTAAGGCAAGGCAGTAATTACATGGCTGTTTTCTCTCATTCTTTTATTCTTTGGCATTATTCCTTAAAATTTACTCTTGAAATTGAGATTGAAGGGATGAGCTTACAGCAAAAGTGCCTGACAGGGAGGACTTGCAAGTCGTTTACCTTTGCCCAGATCCTGCTACTCCACGACTTGTTTTGGAGGAAGCCTGATGCCTCCAGGGCCTGCGTGTGGCCCGCATGTCCTGTGTGGACAACACAGTAACGCGCCCGCACGGTGTCTTCTTAGGTCTACCATAGCTTCTTCTGGCCGCTGGAGTGGACAGTGCCGTCCAGAGACAACAACAGATGCTACGCGAAGATAGTCTGTAATCTCCAAGACAGCGTAAGTGCAGCTCTCGCGCCATCCTTTCTGGTGATTTGGGTTAGCTTTCGACCTGGAGCTCTGTCGTAACCACACCCTGTGGACGTCACAGCGGGCACAGCCGGGCACAGGCCCCGCGTGTCAGCTGCACACAGCCGGCGCTCACCGAGGGCAGGAGCCCGGGGAGCTTTCTGGGTCTGTTTGTCACCGTCTAGAAATAATGAATGGCATGAAAGCAGGAGCAGTGCCAGTTTGGGCCTCGGCGGCTGGCACCAAAAGGAAGCCGCAGCGGGAGGAGCCCTTAGCTGGGCTCCTGCCTGCTGCCCGCGTAGCCTGGTAACTGAGCCCGCGGGCAGCTGCTTCGCCTGCCCAGGGTGAGGGCTTGAGTAAGCAGGGCGCAGACACTGGCGCTCCACTTAGCAAGAAATACGTCGTACGTTGCAGTGCAGGGCACGTGTTCTCTCTCCCTCTGCTTCTCCTTCTCAGCATTTAACTGAGTCTTTGAGAACTGTTTTAACTCACTGACATACTAATTTTTTTGGTTGCTTAGGGAGTTTTTTTTTGTTGTTGTTGTTGTTGTTGTTCTTTCTTCTTTTTTCTTTCTTTTTTTTTTTTTTGGTACCGGATATTGAACTCAGGACCTTGCAGGTGCTTATGCCACTGAGCTATATCCCCGGCCCCTGTTGTTTTGTTTTTTGCGACAGGGTTTCACTGTGTAGTTTAGGCTTGCCCTGAACTCACTGTGTAGCCCAGGCTGGCCTTGAACTTGCAGCAATCCTCCTGCCTCAGCCTCCTGAGAGCTTGGATTACAGGTGTGCGCCACCACGCCTGGCTCATATTACCATTAAAAGTGCCCTCAGTAAAAACATAAATAATGCTAAAGAATCCCCATGTCAAAAGCCTAATAATTTTTTTTAAATCTTGAAACTTAATATAAACGAGCCACGTGTCCTGTGTAGAAAATACTGCTGTAGACACAAGGACAGTTGCAGCTTTTGTGGGACTCAGGATTTTAGAGCACAGTTCCTTGAGTGCTCTACAAAAGCATCTGTTGTCACTGGGGCGTTTAATAAGCCTACGAGGATAAGCTGTGCTGCACGACGCCCCGCAGGAAAGAGCTGCTCCAGTCGCTGTGTGCCTCCCTCAGCTGCCCACTGCGCCCTAGACACGGGGAGGAGGGGTTGGCACTCGCTCCGGTGTCGGTCCCAGCCTCGAGAGCGACTGTAGTTGCCTGGGGCGTTCAGGGGACCCTCAAGAAAGCCCCCTCACGCCAGCAGATCCACCTTAACGCTGGCTCTCTTGCCCTCTTCCTCCCCGCTGTTCCAGTGTTTATGTGGATGGTATTGCTTGTTACAGTGTGAGAAAGGAAAGCCTGTGCTGCCGTGGCTCGTCTCGCTGAGATGGCTGCGCCAGGGCTTCTCTGCTCCGCGTGCCTGCGCGGTCCGCTGCAGGTTGCCTGGCGCTGCTGGCTGTCCTGGGCGTACCTCCCTCCCTGGCAGGCAGGGTCTGCGGGCCCTTGGTTTAGAGTAGTACTTAGTACTTTATTGTCTGCTAGCTTGTCTTCTAGTTTACCTTGAAATGTTTAAAGTAACATAAAGATAGGGAAAGAACCCCATTCAGACTCGGTGACCATTACCAGTTTTGCCGTATCTGCTGCAGAGCTTTGTCCTCGGGAGACTGGCCAGCAGGGTGCAGTTTACAGTAGCTTGTGTTGTGTAAGCGTCGGTGCTTACAGATCTCCGTGGACTTGGCTTAGCTCGCCGAATTCACTCATACACGAATGGGCGTTCGCATGCTCCGTCCTTACGCGGTCCTGTGAGCTGTGCGCCCTTGCTGCCCTCCTTCTGCGGCTGGGAAAACCAAAGCACGAGGAAGTGAGGCGACCGTGAGACGGCTCACCGGGCCGGTGGCAGAGCCGGTGTTCATTTCCGCTACATAGGAGGCCAGTTTCACTTTATTTTGGTACGGGAAGTCAAACTCAGGCCCTTGGGCTTGCTGGGCAGGTGCTCGTACCGCCGAGCTGTATCCCTGGCCCTTGTGTTTTAACTGGAACGTCATTCTCAGTAAGCAGAACCTGCACCACACCACTTTTTATTTGTAGCTTTTCTAACATTGTGGCGTGTAAGCCCAGTGTTTCTGTAGCATGGCGCAGTAGTTCACCGTGCGGCTGTCTCTGATCCGCACCCAGAGCCCCTGACTGTCCGCCGTGGAACCTGAGACCGTGCTTTGGCAGCAGAGTGGCCTTTCCAGCTGTTTCCAGGAAGCGACTGGCGCTTAGGCAGGTCCCGCTCCTGGCAGCCTGCAGTGGCCCACAGGAGGCGGTCGAGGCAGCGCTGGAAAGAAATGCGGGGGCTGAGGGTAGTGTGGTCCAGGGCCCCCTGCTCTTGGCAGGTGCGGCCTGAGTCTGGGATTGACCTTGTCCGAAAGAACCCCAGACACGCACTCCAGAGCTGCCAGACACGCTCTTCTCTTCGAAAGCGTTCTAAGGGTCTTACGGTTCCTGAAGCTCTCTCTACGCAAGCCTTCAGTTAGATGAGCTTTGGGTAGGGGCAAAAGTGTCCCAGTTACCACAGGTAGATTTGGGGACACCGAGACAACCAGCCGAAGGACGTAAGGACGCCTCTACCCTCCGGTAACGTTTTCTGGGACACTGTGGCGGTTAAGGAGCGACCGACAGTCTTCTTTCCGCATCCTCCTCACCGCTGGCAGCCGTCTCCGTCCTCTCCGCCCCGCTTGGTGCGAGCGCTGTGCACCCTTCTGGGGTGCGTGTGCCACGGTCTGTGCCCGTCTCTGGGCAGGTGTTCAGGCTGCCGGCAAGGGATGAGAAAACCCACCGGCTGACGCGCCTTTCTCTTCCGCCTCAGGAGCGGGTCGTGGGCTTCCACGTGCTGGGGCCCAACGCCGGAGAAGTCACACAGGGCTTCGCGGCTGCTCTCAAGTGTGGGCTGACCAAGAGGCAGCTGGACAGCACGATCGGCATCCACCCCGTCTGTGCAGAGGTAGGTCGCGGGTCCTCCCTGCGGGGCGCTCGTGCCCTTCTGGTGGCCGCCGGGGAGCGGTGGGCCTGGTCTCCTGGGAGAGATTTCCTTTCCTGTGGTATTTATTGTTCCTGGTACGACTGCAGGCTTCTCTCATGCCACTAGATGGTTAAAAAACTGGTAAATGACTCACACAGAAGTGTGTTAACCCTTGGCTTCACCCTGTCTCCTAAACGATCTTGACATCGGTTACGAATGGCGTTCCGCCCGGAAACAGCACCTGGACGGCCCCACCCAGTGAGTGGCGTCGCCTGCCTCTTCACCAAGAGGTTGAGAATGACGCTTGTGAAAGGCGAAGGGCACCATCGCGGCCTCGGGCCCCAGCCAGTGTTGTTCACAGCGCAGGCAGGGGACCCAGGTGCGCCTGCAGGGAGAGCAGGTGCTCACGTGGAGAGGCGGGCAAAGCCTGCGGCTATGTGGTTTCCAGGTGTACAGCGCACCGCATGTGCGTGCTTGCATCTTGATAACTGCCTGGTTCCCATCCCCAGCGGCAGCCACACGGCTGAGCGCTTTGCTGAGGACGTGAGGCGTCACCTTAGGATGCGGGAGCGCTCCACCCCCTTCCGTTTGCCTCCTGTGAGTGGGCCTGGCGTCCTGCGCTGGACCAGGCGCTCCCGGCCTGCGTGGGAACGTGAAGGACTGACGTGTTAGTGGGTGGGGTGGTTGGTAGAAAGCTAAACGTTAAAGACCACATACCTGAAGAGCGCAGAGGATGCTTCCGAGGGCTGTGTGACTCGTCCAGACTTCCCGCCTGGGGAAGGCGCCAGACTGTGTGAGCACATCCGTTGCCACGGCTGCTGTACCGAGGCACCGTGAACGGCAGAGACTGGCCCTCTCCCAGCCCTCGGGGTGGGAACAGGAATCAGGGTCAGCAGGGCTGGTCTCTCCCGCCTCAGGGAGTCGTCAGAAACTTCCACTCCTCCAACGCCTGGCTACCCGGTGCCCTTGGCTTTCGGGTGCGTTGCTGCAGTTTCCGCCTGCAGAAACCCTGATTCCAGATAGGGCCCTGCTCACGGGGGCAGGGCAGGAGTTCGTCCTGCAGGGGGCCGAGGCCCAGAGCTCCCGCTTCTGTGCAGCTGCTGAGCGCTGACTTCAGCCGGCACTTGGCAGTGGGGCACCCCCATCCAGCAGCCCGCCAGCCGCAGGCGCCGTCCCCGGCCTGCAGGTCAGCCCAGCCGCTGTCCCGAGCGTGGGGCACGCTTGTCCTCTGTGACTGCAGCGCAGAGGGCAGGTGCGCACTCCCTGCTAGGGTGTTACTTCATTTCTCCGAGCTGAAGAGGGTACACAGCAGGATGCCCCTCCTTCTGAGCATGTCAGCGGGGCACCGGCAGGGGTGCGGACTGACCACAAGCCCCCAGGGCTTGCAGGCTACAAGGCTGCCTGCGCTTATGGCCAGGAGACCCTGCTCAGGTTGACGTGGGCCCAGGGGCTCTGCTGCAGAGCTCCTTGGGGTCTGTATTTGATTCACAGGACAGCAATTCTGAATATGGGGAGTTGTTCCCTAAACTCAGAACACTGCTCCAGTTGTCCAGACTCTGCTGGCTGTCAGGCAGTAGAATTGAGGTTTTTGGTTTTTCTTTGTTCGGTTTTGTTTTAGACAAGGTCTCGCAGTGTAGTTCAGGTGGGCCTGAAACTCCACAGTGACCCTCCCGCCTCAGCCTCTCAAGTCCCTGGATCACAGGTGTGTGCCACCACACCTGGCGAGCCGCTCTTGACCTTTGTGAGTGTCCTGTGGGCTGGAGGCTGCCCTCTGCTCATCTTTTAAAAATAAATGTTTTTATGAAAATTCTAAAATAGCCATGTATGAATGACAGCTTCGCAAGATTGACCTGACTCTTTTCCCTGAGACTGATCCGAGCATCGTGGGTATAAGAGAAAGGAAGTAACAGCTCTTTGTTTTTACCTGCTCCTGCTTTTTTTGGTCTTTCTGTCCTTTGGAGACATGTTCTCACTGTGCAGTTTGGGCTGGCCTTGAGCTCACTGTTAGCCCAGGCTTCTCGGCCTTCTGGCTAAGATCAAGTGTGCAGCCCAGGCGGGCCTCGAACTTGCAATGATCCTCCTGCCTCAGACTCCTGAGTGCGGGGATTACAGGCGTGCACCACCACGCCCGGCCCTGCTCCTGCTTCTTGATGGGAAATTTGTCTCTAATTCACTTCCTAAGAAACAGAACAGATGCTTTACCAGGTACAACCTGGACTTCCTCCTTTCGTCTGGGTTTTCCTGTCCCCCGATACCCGTGCTCCTGCCTCTTCTCCGTTTCGGCCCCGGTACCTGGTCCCCAAAGCGGCTCCCGACACGCGTGCTGCTGTCCGTCCCCTCGTTCGCTTGGGGTCTGAAACTGTCTCGCTCTCTCCCTGCAGGTGTTCACGACGCTGTCGGTGACCAAGCGCTCCGGGGCCAGCATCCTGCAGTCCGGCTGCTGAGGTTAAGCCCCAGTGTGGGTGCTGCCGCCCACCCGAGCCCCCGCGGTCCCTTCCCTGGATCCGAGACGGAGGCTTCGGGAAGGCACCATCGGGTGCCCGCCGGCCACGCCGGGGCCCTCGCTCAAGGGCAGGAGGTGGTGGCGGAAGGAGGCAGCATCGCACTGGGGTCACACAGACTCGGAGCTGGCGCGCGGCGGGCACCTCAGGGTGCGTCCATGAGGTCACCAGCCTCAAGCCCGCGGGTAGGCGGTGACGGAACGCTGCCGCGTCCTTCAGCTCAGCCCAGCCGCTCCTCGGCGGTTTTCTTAGGCTCATCCTCGAGCTGTCTCACCTTGATTGTATTCTCCTTTCCTCTCCCTGGGGCTAGTGATGCCAGCAGCGAAGACTGTTGGCAGTCGGTTTCTGTCCAAACGCAAGTCATGGCTGCAGGGTCCCACGGTGTCCCGCGTGTGGCTTGGGCCCCCTTGGAACCTGCACAGCGTCGCACGAGAGACAGTGCCCTGTGATTGGCTAGCAGGTCCTGTTCTCCTGGCCTGTCCAGCAAGGCCTCCGTGAATAAATTGGATTCCAAAGCAGGGACAGCAGGTGGGGGGCTCGCCGCATGGGCCCGAGTGCTGCACGTGCGGGCCGCATCGCTGGCCGTGACGGTGGCTGTTCGTGTCGGAGGGACCGGGCTCCTGCCATCGCCGTCCGCGCAGACGCGAGGGCCGGCCGTCTCCCTGGATGCGGGTCACGCCGCTGTCTCTGTGAGCGGACGTCGTCTGCAGTGGAAAGCGCTTGCTTTGCTTCACGCTTCTGGTTCTGTTCAGCGGGTTAAACACGGGACGCTGCAGCTTGGTGTTACGTGTCTCTCCCCCGTAGGAAGCAGGCCTTTCTGCACTTAGCGTGTGCGGGCTCTGGGCGGTTCACTTTTTCAAGGAAGCTGTTAATAGCCTAAGTTATTATTTTTGAACACAGGTGGATGTGAAGGATTTTTACCCCCAAACCAGATTTGGACCTTTTCTGTTAAATGGGCGACCGAGTCTGGCGGGCCCGTCGCGTAGGGCTTCTCTCGGGTGAATCCCGCCCGGGCGGAGCACTGCGCTGCACACGCCTGTCCTGTCCAGCCTGTCACCGCCCACTGTACTGTGACTCCTGAAATTCCATGTATTTTTATTACAAATCTTTGGAAAAAAGAAAAACCAGGAACCATTAAAAGGTGTTTGTACCTACGTGCATGCCTTCTTGCGCATCGGGTCTGGGTCTTGGGGTCCCTGTACCGACAGTAAGTGGGCACTGCCGGGTGTGGGGGCCTGAGCCTCAGCCGGCCTGGGCGTGACTGACAGCCCGGTCTCCGGGGAGCGAAGCCCCAGCGGGGTGTCCCCATCTCCCTCCTTAGGGCCCTGGGCGTGTAGTGAGTCCTCCCTCACAGGACGGAGCGCAGGCCGGGTCCACCGCGGACTGGCTGGCCTGCCCTGTAGCCAGGCGCGCAGGCGGCAGCTCGCGGAGAAGCTGCTCGCAGCGCTCAGGTTACCCCCTCGTGCAGGGGTTGTGTGCGTCGGCCTCCCGCGTCTGCCTGAGCTGTTCCCTTCACATCCGGTGAGGAGGCTGCTCGGGGCAGGATGCTGGGTGTGCACACGACACGCTCGCGTGAGCGCGGGGCAGGTGCAGTGGGAGCAGCCGCCTGCTGGGGGTTACAGGTTGCTCCCTGTCAAGGTTGTGAGAACAGAGCCAGGGCGGGGACCCCAGAACTCCGGCCGTCACCTGCTCCCTGGCCTGTTTCCCTCTGGCCGGAGCTGTGAGGGCAGTGTCCATGCCTGTCAGGTTAAGAACCCGTAGTTATTACGGGCTGATCAGGCCCGCAGTCTCCCAGATGAATGGACGGCGAAGGCTTACGTAAATGAGACAAATGATTGTAGGGCTCCAAGAGGGCCCAGCTCTCTTACAGAATTCCAGATTGTCTAGGTTTAGACAAAAACTCCTCTGGGCAGCCTGTACTTGGTTTTCAAACAAAGGAGGGGGATACTGAAGAAAACACAGGAATCTCGCAGCACTTTGGGAGAATTTTTCCCAAGTAGTAAATTGTGTCAACCAGGAGAACTACCTTATCTTTAGGTTGGTATTTATTGTAGGAGTGTGGATCCTGCAGCTGCAGTCTCCTTGTAGTTAATCGGGGTTGGAGCCAAACATCCTCAGCTGTGGCCTTGTCTTGTCCTTCGAGGTATCACAGCTTCATAGGCCAATACAGGCGTCAGTGGTGACCAGTGACTCGTAGAGGTTCACTCACTATGAGTCCGCTGCCCTTCTCCAGACAAGGGGCCTAAGCTTCGGACAGCTCACGGATAAACACGGGAGCCGGTGGGTTAATACTGAATGCTGCTCAGAGCGCCTGGCTGTGGTCTCCAGCAAGTGCCCTGGACCTGACACGCTCAGTCTCGCCGTCAGCTGCGTGGCGCTCGCACTGCCGACGGCTCCCCCGCGGCCGCTCGTCCGCACAGTGGCTAGGATGGTGCAGTGCGCTGAGGTTCGGACCCAGGCAGGGGCTTTGCACTGAGCCTCATCCTGCACCATTTATTTTAGTTTAAGACAGGTTTTTGCTAAGCAGCTAAGTTGCCCAGGCTGGGCTAGAACTTGGGATTCTCCTGCCTCAGCCTCACAGAGTGGTGGAATTACAGGTGTGCACCCCCACGCCCAGCTGTAGCCAGCCTTTTGCTGCCAACGTTGCCCCGAGCCAAGCCCTGGAGGGTTCCAGAGGCCTGTCATTAGGTTCCCACCTGCTCGCCCCAGCACTCCATGCCTCTCCCGGCCTCAGTTGCCAGCAGCTCGGTGTCTCTGCCCCCTGGGATGGAGTTGTGCAGGGTGTCAGCTGCTCTGCGTGGGGACTGCAGATGGTGTCCGGGCAGCTGGCCCTGGTGCTGCTTTCTGGAGGAGGTTGGCATCTGAGTGGTGACCCTGCCCCCGCCCGTGTGGTGGGCATCCAGGCCTTGATGGCTCCAGGGGACAAAGGCAGGCAGGTGGGTTTCAGTGCAGGCATCCCTCTGCTTGTGGCCCCCAGCTACTGGACGCAGGCGCATACCTCGGCCACCCTGCGTGTCAGGCCTTGGGGTTTCCTTTTGTTTTTTCAGTACAGGGGGTTGAACCCAGGCCTTCGCACCAAGCTGCACCCACCGCCCCTTGGTTTTATGAGGCAGGGTCTTGCTAAGTCCCTAAGTTGCCCAGGCTGGGCTCAAACTTGCGATTTCCCTGCCTCAGCCCCTGAGAGTGCTGGCATTGCAGGTGTGCACCACCATGCCATGCTAGGCCTCCAGGTTTGAACCGGAAGTACACTGGCTGGACCGGGCCTCTGCCCTGCAGACGGGACTGTGGGGCCCCAGACTCCACAGTCGCATGCCTGGTGTCTTGCACAAAAGCTGTGGCACATTCATTGCTGCTGGGGTTAAACTGGTGGGATTACTTTGGGAAGCACCCGGTGTCACCTGGTGAAGTACCACTGGGGTGTGACCTGTCACCCAGGCATTGCACCTGGCCAGGAAAGGAAGGCCCATCATGGCCCGTAACAATGTGACACCAAGCAACAAACCCAGGTGAACGTGCGCCCCCTGGTGTCCATGCCTGGGAACAGGAGCTCCCTGACGCCCCCAAGTTTTATGGGTACACAAACATGGGCTGATGAATAAAGCCGCAGGGCTAAAAAGTGAGGGGCCTTGCACATCAAGGGGAAGGACAGGCAGCTTACAGGTAATTCCAAGAACATAGACTAACCTACTTGCATAACTATAAAATTGTATCTTAGCTAACAGGGCAACATGGGCAGCCCCAAGGCAGGTTCAAGACCTGTTTGTGTACATCGTGACCTTAGAGCACACGAGAACCAGGTCAGTGACCTGGGCGGGGGAGGACTTCTTCCATCTGGGCCTGCAAGCACAAACCACAAGGCAAACTCTCTGGCTGGAGCAGGAGTCTAACCCTCAGGCACCACTGCGGGAAAAGTGAGCAGTCATTAGATTGGGAGCAGATAGTCCCAGTGTCTAAACTGACGACCTTGTAGTCAGGGTTTGCGAGGGAATAGATTTAATACAGGACACAATTTATAGGACTATTTTATAATATTCACCAAAAAAATGCAGAAGAGAAGAAGGGATCTGTCCACACACTAGAGCCCCAAAGAATCCAGCTGAGGGCCTGGATTGCACAGCAGTGTCCTGCAGGAGTCCAGCTGGAGGCCTAGAGCCCACGGCAATGCCTCACGCAAGTCTGTACCAAGGATCTGCGCTGGGAAGGCCCAAAGAGCTTAATGGTAGAAGCTAGAAAGTCTGTGCCAGCGGGGTGAAGGATCTGTGCCAGCAGGCAGAGGGATCTGCACTGGAGCCAGGAAGCAGCACTCAAGGCAGGGACCACAGCTCCCCCCAAAAGTACCACAGTCATCGTCAGAGACAGTGTGGACCGAGCTCCTCCGATGATAACAGCTGAGTTCATAGCAGGAAAGCCAACGTGACAAGCTCCCCAGGAGAATCAACAGCACCCATCTTCCCCTCCAGTTCTGCTTTTATGCTGTTGGCAACAACCCTCAGGCGGGCCTTCCACACCCAGCACCGCGCTGACTCAGTTCAGCTGGGGTTACCGGTTGATCCTTAGTTAATCCACCACAGACCTGGAGATGAAGCATTCTGGATCTTTGACAGTGCCTTACTAACACAACTGTCTCGCTCTTCTTTATTTTTGGAAAATATTTAATGATGTAAGAAAAAGTCTGTGGCTTATGGCCCAGTAGGAAAGTGTACGACGAGGTGTTCTAGGAGAGTGGAGCATGCCCGGATGATGCTGTCATGCTGGAGATGTGGTTGTGTATTTCTCCAGACCCGTAGCATGCACCGAGCCACGCACGGCCCAGTGCACGCCAGGGAAGCTGGGGACAGTGATGTGTCAGCCTGGGGCCCTCGGGGGAGCAGGTGCTGATCGGGAGCCTATGCATGGGTGGGGACCGGGGACCCAGAACACGTCCGGAGCCACTGCCACCCTAGACACTTCAACCCCGCCTATGGCCAGGCCCCAACTGGTTCACGTCTCACGGTTAGCCAAGGGACCTCATCGCTGCACCCCAACACTTGAACCACTGACCCAGGAAAACACACGAACTACTTGGACGAGGACCAGTCACTCTCGGTCAGTGGCTTCTCGTGCTAAGTGGGGTTTCTGCCCGGCCTCGGCTGTGGGGTGGGGCGGGGATGATCAGCAGTGGGACATCAGATAAGACACTCGGAGTTGGTACAGGACATCTGTCACCAGGCAACACTCAGCAGCTTTTCTCTACACCAATAATGAGCTAGCTAAGCAATCAGAAAAACGGTTCAATCCACAATAGCTTCCAAAACCTAGGAACCAACCTGACCAAGGAGGTGAAATACTTCAGCAATGAAAATTACAGACAGCTGAAAAGAGAAATGGAAGATGTAGAGAAACCACCTGTCTTCAGGTGTCAGGAATAATGCTGTTAGAATGGCTGTCGTGAAAAGAGTGACCTACAGATTCGGTCCAGTGCTCCTTAAAACTCCAGGGGCAATCTTCACAGAGCTACAAAAAACAATCCTTAATTTCACATGGAAACAAAATACCTAGAACAGCCAAACCAATCATAAGCAAACCCAGATGTGGCACAATGCCTGTGATCCCAGCGTTGAGGAGGCTGAGGCAGGAGGATTGCCATGAGTTCGAAGCCAGCCTGGGGTACACAAGGAGCTCAAAGCCAGCCTAGACTACACAGTGAGAGCCTGTCTCAAAAAATCCTAAACTAAAAGCAAGGTTGGAGGCTTCACAATACCCAATTTCAAACTATACTACAGCTGCAGCCCTATCTTTCACCCTGCATAAGATTTAGTGCAAAAGGGAGCAAAGAGCTGGGTATGAAACCTGGAGCTTTGAAACTCAGAGAAAACACAGGGGAAGCGCTTGGAGCTGGAGGCAGAGGCAGAGACTTCCGGGGTAGGACCCAGTGCACAGGAAGTAATTGCAAGAATTGGTGTGTAGTGTGTTCTCAGAGACCTGCATGGCCGTGCTGACTGTAGTACAACTCAACAGCCACGGTGCGGGGCCAGCCCCGGTGGGCATCAGCGGGTAAATGGATAAAGACCACGTGGGGTGCATACACACCCCCACAGTGGAGCCTCACTCAGCTGTCAGGAAGAACACAATGATGTCATCACTGGAAAATGGATGGAGGGCAGGGGATACAGCT